AGAACTTTTTCTTTAGTCCATCTAATTTATTTTCTTGCTGAAAAATGACATTCACAATAGGGTACATCATACTTCAGTCAAAATTTAAATTTTGAATATTTTGACTAGCACGCTTGGATTCCTATGTATTTGGGTATGGGGAAATCAATTTTGATAATATTTTTGTAAAATATTAATGTTTAGATAAAAACTACTTACTAGCCAGAAACAGGTTTTAAAATTACGGTTTTATTTAAAATTAATCTTATTAAATTAGGGTTTAATTTTTAAAATATTTTAGACAAATATTAATACAAAGTAAAATTTTACAAAGTAAAAATTAACTACAAGTAATATAAGAGATTAAATTATTGACCCCCCAAGATTACTCTGCCAGGCATGTATAAAAACAGTTAAGGGTCCTGGCCGCCCCCCTGTCAATTATTTTATTATCAAGATATATTAAGATTATTGTTTATGTAAACATAAATACAAAAACCTTTTTTTAAAAACATATTATGCATTCAAAAGTTTTCTAAAGTTTAGCAAAGAGACTGGAATTGTTTACCCCTTCCTCCCCCCCCCCCCCCCCCACCTAAAAAAACACACAAACCTTCATTTAAACAGTGGGAATGCCATAATTGCAAAAACAATTTTAAAAAATTAATAAATAAAAATTTATAAATTTTAACAAGGTTGAAAAGAAAGCAACCAAGTCACAAATGCAGTAATATTAACCAAATAATATCAAATTAATAATAAAAAACTGTTACTAACTATATATAGAGAAAAAGTTTTGAACAATTTACATTACAGTTTTTTTTTAGCATTGGTCACTTAAACAAAACCTTTTTTTGATTTCATCACTGGCATTTTTTCTCGATTTTGGGCACCAGTTATGAGTACAGAGAAGTGCAACAAGTAAATAACTTAGAACTCCTGGGCACCAGAGACTGGATCAGAAGATGGAGCTCCTGGACACATGAAACCAGGAACAAATAGCAATTTAAAGTTGGAGTCTTTTTCGTCAAATTTTTTTGTCAGTTTTTTACTTTAATTAAAGAAAGTATTGAAGTTATTTTAGATCATTCATAAGATTAAAAAATTGTTTCATGGAATCGTTTTTATGCAAGTTTTTGAGTTCAAATCTAAAGCTATAAATTATACCTATTGTTGTTTTTTTTTTAATTTTTACGAGCGGGTTAATTTGTAACAACTTTGTAATAAATTTATGTTTTTTGCATTTTTGTAAAAATATGTCTAACCTTCAATTCCATTAAAAGAAGCAAAAGTAAAGAATTTATACTTTTAGAACAATTAAATAGCAATTTATCATATAAAAACTTAACAAAACTAAGTATACCTGAAACTAACAACTCATAGAACTTTGTCTATTTTCAATGTTATTTTCATTGGAATAATGAGATTCACATGTTCAGAGTTCAGGTCTAATCAATAGTCATGCACGGTTTCCTAACATCAAACGAGCAAAAAAATTCCAAGATATTTTAAATCATCAACATCCTTCTACTCAATATACAATTGAAGTCACGGTCCGATTATTTTTAACATTTAAAGGATTTTTTCCACAGAACCTACTCAGTCTGTAGTAAGCCTAGTTTGCAAAACAAAATAAGTTTTTTAACTGATATGTTCATTGAAAACTGGTACGATGAAAATCAATTGAGGAGTAATACACATCAATTTCATCAAAAAAATACAGAATAAAAACATAATTACATTAGAATGCAATAATTTTCATGTAGCGTTTTTCCCATGGGTACCTAGGGTTTCTTTTTGAAGTTTTGAAAAAACTTCAAAAAGAAACCCTAGGTACCCAAAGACGTTTTTTAAATTTGTCAAAAAAGAAATTTTTAACTTATTGCGTAATATTTTTTAAAGAATTCAAAGAATTTTTCAAAAATTTTGCTTTGGAGTTGGAGTCGGAGTCGGAGTTGTACTCAAAAAAATTTCAAAAACTGGAGTCGGAGTCGGAATCGTTACTTTTTTTTTATGACTCCACACCCCTGGTATTAAGAGAAACTGTATTTCTTGATATTTTTAATATATATATATATATATATATATATATATATATATATATATATATATATATATATATATATATATATATATATATATATATATATATATATATATACATATACATATACAAGTTTCAGCTTTTCAATTACTTTCGTTCTTGTTTTATTGAGAAAACAGTATAATTTTGTTCAAATATTATGTACAAAAATTATTGGCCCAGAGAAAAGAAAAAAATTTTTGTCCATCGCGAAACAGGTATTTCAATCGAATCTAGTATCGTGTTGGGTAACCTTTCATCTTGATGCATTCTTGTAATCTACTTGGTACTGAATCAACAAGTTTTTGGAGAACAGACAACTCGACGTTATTCCATTCGTTCTTCAAGAGGTCTCCAAGTTCGTAGATATTTTTTGGCTTGTGTTTCTTCATCCTCCGGTCGATCTCATCCCATAGATGTTCTATGGGATTGAGATCAGGCGAGGATGAAGGCCAAGCTAATGTTTGAATATTGTTTTGTTTGAGCCAATCTTTGACTAGACCTGATGTATGCTTGGGATCATTATCGTGGGCGAAAAAATATTCTTGTCCAAAATTAAATTTTTGGATCGATGGTAACAAATGCTGCTCTAAGATGTCACGATAATAAAATCGGTCCATTGTATGGTCCAAAATACATAATTCACCAATTCCATTTCGCGTGAAACAACCCCAAACGGTAACAGAACCACCACCATGCTTGACCGTAGCCACAGTACAATGTGGGTCGAATTCTTCCTTGGGTGTTCTTCATACCATTACCTTTCCATCAGACCTGAACAAATTGAATTTCGATTCATCGGACCAAATGACAGTTTCCCAAAACCTTATCGGCTTGTTCAACATTGTTTTTGCGTATTTCAGTCGTTTAACTCGATTGATTTTGTTGACTAATGGTTTCTTTCGTGCTACACGACCATAAAGTCCAGCTTCGTGAAGTCTATTTCGAATGGTATTGGCGTGTAATGATATTCCTAGTTCGGTCTCGACCTCGATCTTCACAGCATTGGCAGATTTACGTCGATCGGACTTAACTTTGCGTACTATCAATCGATCCAATGTTTCGGTTGTTTTCCTTTTTCGACCACGTCCAAATAAATTACCGATACATTTCGTCTGTTTGTATTTCTTAACTATGTATCGTACCGTCTCTCGAGGAAGTAATGTCTTAGCAGCAATTTCTCGTTGAGAATCACCGTTTTGATAGTGCTGAATTACTAAAGCTCGAAGGTCATTACTATGTTCTTTCTTTTTAGGTGCCATTTTAGTAAATTATCATTTAGTGAAGAAATCCGCAAGTATTTATACTATGATTAGTGGTTCTAGATATAGCGTCGACACAATTCTATAACATTCTGAAAAAAACAGGAAAGTTCTAGAACTTTTTGGAAGTATTATTTTCTTTTCTTTTCTCTGAGCCAATAATTTTTGTACATAATATTTGAACAAACTTATACTGTTTCTCAATAAAACAAGAACGAAAGTAATTGAAAAGCTGAAACTTGTTGTATATATACTAGTGATAACAGACGACACGATGATACTAACACTTAGTAATTTTCTCCTATAGTTCTTATATGCCAGCAAAAATAAAGTAGTTATGCAAAGGTGGGCCAATAATTTTTGGACTCACTGTATATATATATATATTAGGGCCCTGAAATTTCGAATCAAATCGAATCAAAAATATGATTCGAGATACGATTCGAAAATTTTTAAAAATCGAATCCTTACTTTTTTGTTGTTGTTGTGGATATTTTAGATATTCTGCGCTTTGGCGCTATCAAAATAACGTTACTTATCCTTAAATACCTTTTTAATCAGTCATTAAAATAGTTAACCAGGGCAAGAAGCACCAATAAAGAGATTATACAATTGCTTTATTTTATTTTGAAATATATATTATTAAATAAAAAATGCTTAAATTTAGACTTCAAAATGTCGATTCGAAACGTGGTTCGAATCGCGAATCAAGACCTACTTTAATTCAAAATTCGATTCGAAGCAAAAACTGCAGATTCGCAGGGCCCTAACATATATATATATATATATATATATATATATATATATATATATATATATATATATATATATATATATATATATATATATATATATATATATATATATATATATATATATATATATATATATATATATATATATATATATATATATATATATATATATATATATATATATATATTTATATATATACATATATGTATACCTAATGTATATATATATATATATATATATATATATATATATATATATATATATATATATATATATATATATATATATAATAAATATATATATAATATATATATATATATATATATATATATATATATATATAATATATATATACATATATATAATATATATATATATAATATATATATATAATATATATATATAATATATATGTATATATATATATATATATATATATATATATATATATATTATATATATATTTAAGTAGGTGTCGCGTGAGGGGGGGGGTGCCATTACAACTTTTGCCGACTTAAAAAAAAAAAGTCCTCGTTTTCCAAAATTTGCCGACTGCCATGACGACATTTGCCGACTGTCTAGATTACCGACTAACCTATATCGAAAGGGTCGACATTTGCCGACTAACTAGTCTAAAAGGGTCCAATTTGCCGACTAAAAATCATTGATGAGGGGGTGTCACACCCCACCCGCACCTCCCTATCGCGCCGGCCTTGCACACATACATATACATTCATTTGTACAAATATATATGTTATTACGCTTAATTAATTAAACCATATATTGCTCTGTTCACAAATCAAAGATATCTGAGGATATCTTTGACTTGTGATTTACCCGGTTAAATTAAAATAAGATTAAAGTTTCATTGATTAGAGTAGACGTTAAATGATTTTTTTTTAATAAATTTTTATCTTTAGATGATCTTTACATGAGCAGAAGTAAGGTCTGGAATGATCCAAATTCTTCTTATTCGACTAGAAACAAGTTTATAAATGACATTTTGTTTACATGGCTAGGCTATTTTGAAAGACTGGTGCCTAATTCCACTAGTGAATCTGATGGGATTTATTTTTCCAGCGAACGACTCACTTGGGTAGATTATCTAGTGTTTGAATTGATTGAAAGTAATTGTGGCTTTATTAGTCAGACAGCAGTAAAACAAAATAATCCTGATTCTGTAAATAAGCAAGATGTTGTTTTGAACAATTACATAAAGGAAGATAATGAGAAATATGAAAATATAAAAGATTGTCAATCTTTAATTGAAAACTTTCCCAAACTTAATACGTTTTATAAAAGTTTTAGAAATAGGTCACGTTTGAAAACTTATTTAAATGGTAAAAGACATTCTCTTTTTATTCCTTTACCTAAAATAAAGTGAGGTAATCTAAATTTATTTGTAAAGTAAAACGAACGATAAGAAAATGTGTAATGTAATAACGATGAAGAAGAGGTGTAATGTAATAAAAATGTTTCGTCATTAAAATGACATCTTTTTTTTTATGAAGTAGTCAACTTTTTAAGTTACTGAAAAAAATGAAAAGACTATTTCGGATTTTTTGTTCTTTATTTTTAATCCCTAGTTTTTACAGAAAATAGTTTATTTTTGTCATTTATAAATCGTACAAATGCTTATTATTTTTTGTAAAAGCGTTAGGTTTTATTTGTGACAAAAACTTATTTGTGATAAAACGGTTAGATTAAAAGTAGGTCAATATAATAAGAGTAAAATAAAACTATCACTTTGTACTTTATTATTTTTTTTTTCACACACTGCACTAAACTTTAATTTCTTTTTAATTCCTAATCTTTTTCAGTTAATTTTGTTACTCGTTTTCTAGACAGCTCTAGTTACTTGCCTTCACTTCTTGATTCATGTTTTTGTCTCTAACCATGTTCTTCTTTAGGCGGCTTAGAGAAGAACATGGTTAGAGATGATTAGATTGTGGGTTTCCTTAAAACGTTTATCTCGTACTTCATTTGCATCAGATTGACCTTATGATTGCACTTTTCAAAAACTATTTCATGGCTAACTGGGATCGTTTTCATAATTTTCTTCATGATGGTTCTTAGGCCGATATCTTTTGTCTCTTTGTTCAAATTTCCCCCTACTTTACAGTCTTTTGGAATCAGGTAAACATGGAAGCTTTTCATAGGTTTCAATTCAATCTGTCGCATGGTTTTCTTTTTCTTGTTCAGCAGTTTTATAACTGTAGTCATTTCTTTTATTTTATCCATAAAAAAATAACTCTGGGGTAACTCTCTAGAAAACGTATTTTTATCATAGCACGAAATTAATGCAAGTTAATTAAAATTAAGAAATTAATCAAAGTCAATAAAGTAATGCAAATTAATGCAAAAAAGTATTGACTGACGTCGATTATTCTTACACTGCTAAATCTTGTATTTTATCTTTAACAAAAGCAAATCAAAAAAAAATTCTGTTTTTTATACAAGAGTCTCATCTACCTCTCCCAAGGATAAGGTACAGCTGCTTGCAAAAAACTTTTCTTTTAGTTCGTCTTTTCAATCGAAAAAACACACACTTCTTGTCATCTCAAAAAAATAGGTAAGCCACTGTTGCAGATTCTAATCATTTCTGCTTCCATTGCTCAAGTTGTAACTTACTTGAACAAGTCGTCTAGACAACATTCGTGGTCTAGACAATTGTCGTGGACAACATTCTTGTCACAGTATTACAAAAGTTTTGTTTCCAAAACTTTCTTTATTACTCATAAAACTATTTAACACTGAATCTTGTTTTCCTGTCTTTAGGAAAATGACACCTGTGGCTCCAATTTATCTATTGCCTAATCAGTCTTTTTACTATTATTACTAAAGTCTTTGAAATTTTTATTAAAACCTTGTAAACTTGTAGTTTACATGTTCCAAATTTATAACATATAACATTTTTAAAACTTGTAGATGAGAAAAATGAGGATGTAAAGCCCATTCAAGTTTATAACATGTTCTCAAAATAAAAAAGTTATTGACTAGTATGCACGTCACAGGGACAAGGCCACACTCATAATTTCGAAGTTTAATGCCTGTAAACTTCTTGATTAAATAAAGTGTAAGAATATATACCTGTGATTTGCTTGTTGCCTCGTGCTCAGTACCTGCACAATTCTCTTTTTTGTGCGTGTGGTAAATATAACATAAATCTAAAGATCGAATACCAATATCATATAAAATATTAGATCTAAAAATAATAAAAGCAATTGGGCCTAGATATATTATTTCAGACAGAAAAACATATAAGCTGAAAAATAAAAAAAAGCTGGTTATAAAATCGTCAGACGGACGTGAGACGTCCGACGTTTCAATTACGGACATCTCTTTGACGACGCATGTCTACTGGGTTTCTGCAGGATTTACTGAATTATAATTGCTTATCTATTCCTTATGAATTCATTTTAAACATTTTTTGTTTTTATTTCGTTATTAAATTTTATTTTATAACAAGGATCTTAATAAGTAAAAATTGCAAACAATGTTAAAATGCAAATCATAAAAATAATTGTTTGGTGGTGCATTTTATTGGGGTTTTAAATGTTTCATTTGCATTTGCTTTCTTTCTCCTACTAAAGTGTGTATTAGTGAAAATACCAATTATAGAATGAACTATTATGAATTATAATTATAATAATACATTAATAGTACTGCTATTTAAACTTCTGGTAATCTTTTCAAAAGGCTAGAAAACAGACACGAATTAATTGAGATGCTTCCATTTTTCAAGAATTATTTGGGGGGATATTGTGTTGACCGAAATACATGTACAATAAATTTTTTGTTTGAATCTTGCAAAAACTTCATTAAAATACTATTATATAACACTTCTGTTTGGCTATATGGTTTAATCTTTAAATAAAATTGTCGCGTCTTTAACATTAATTAATACGCTCTTGCATTATTAAGACTTTTATTTAACAAAGTGTAAACAATTTTTAATGTTTTAGTAAATGAATGTTAAAATGAATACATAAATAATAATGTATTCTAAACTTAGTTATTTGTTGTAACTTCCGGTTTAATTATCATAGCAGAAGTTGGAAGTTTATGCAGCCAAAAACGAAGTTGGAAGGAGACAAAGCTCTATAAAAACTTTCTTTAAACTATAAAGACATTTGCAATTAATACGATTAAAATATTTTTTTAAAACTATTTATGCATTACAAACTTACATGTCATTGTAAAGCAAATTTTACAATTAAAAACGTTGGAAGCATTTTACAAAAAGTTATGATACAGTTAAGATGCTTCCGAAACAGCTCTTTTCAGAACTCCTAAAATGCTTTTGTGATGCTTCGTGAAATATATCATACGTGTTTAGTCACAGAGCCTCACAGTTTATCTTAGGAGTATATGTTTACATGAGTTGTAAACAGGGTAAGTTTGGCACCAAACTAAAAAAGATAGTCCTATATATATATATATATATATATATATATATATATATATATATATTATATATATATATATATATATATATATATATATATATATATATATATATATATAATTTAATTAAAAAATAATTTTTTTTCATAAAAAAACTTGTGTTGTTACGACTATTAAATAGTTCGACTCTCGACTAAATCGACTAATATATTTTCCAAAGTCGATTAAAATCAACTTATACACTTTTAAAAGCGACTTAGTTGAAACACTTTTAAAAGCGACTTAGTTGAAAAATGGAAATTATTTAATTATTCGAAACAAATTATATTATTTAAATAGTAATAGGGCAAAACAATACGAGTAAAGGGCCGCTCCAACAACGGGACAATTTATTCCCAAACCTCGATATTTAGGGATGCCTTAAATACTTGCTATATACCTAACACTATATAAGTCTTTACAATCATATTTACAATGTGATATTATAGATGGCATTTAGATTTTGGAGCTTTACAACTTAATTTTACCCCTGAGCCAGATGGAGCGGCCCTATATGAAAGTGTTTATTAAAATCAAAAGCTTCGACTAAATAAAAGAATAAAATAAGTAGTTAATGAAATACATAATCGAAAGTTTAACTAGATATAAACTTTTTTTTTCTGTTTTTATCAAGGTGCTTCCAGAAATCCTTGCAGCACCATGGAAGAGCATAAATGATGCTAACATGCTATGAACTAGATAAAAATTTAGGTTAGTAAACAAAAAACTAAGTAATAGTTATAGTAGTACATACTTAATTATTAGTACATAGTTATTAAATGAACAAACAAAACTTAAAGATTGAAAATTTAAATGGAATGGAAAGATATAAGGATTTTAAGATTTTTACTCGGCTAAATCGAATTTAGTCGATTAGTAGGAAGTCTATAGTCGATTAAATCGACTGTACGATTTTTCAAAGTTGACTAATTTCGACTTTTAGTCGGAGTCGATAACAACACTAAGAAATAAGAAATTTTTTTTTTGTCACTTATTTGTTTTCGTCATGACCAAAAGCCCCTTTGCCCTTGTCTTGCTACGCTATTTAGGTAATGTTTTTTTAAGCTTATTTGTTTTAATAAATTTGTTTATAAGCAAATTTAATGCAAAAGGTTTATTGCATAGGTTATAAAATCATTTACTGTCCTTAACTTACTTAGAATGTCTTGCTAACTTGTGCAATCTATTTACTAGAACTCTAACTTAGTTTCTTTAAAAGTTCTCTACAATTACGCACTCTGTAATTAAATAATTATAAAAGTTGATTATTTAGCTATTATTCTGTAATAGCAGTCCATAATCAAAGTCCTTAATACAAAGCTAGAAGTTAAATACATTTTGAACTCTCCAAAAAATACAAATTTCTTTTTAGAGCTAATCATAGCTAAAAAAACAAAACAAATATAGATTACAAAGATTTTATTTTTCATTGATAACAGAAAACTATTACAATAATGAATAAATAGTAGTAAATAAATTAACTAGATTATAACAAATTATTACTAAGAGTTATTATGAATATAATTTCTTGATAATAATATCAGAATATTATTTCTTGTAAGTTATCAGTGTTTTTCATTAAAACCGGTATCTTTAGAAAATAAATACTATTAATCCGTTTTTCTGATAATATAAGTGATAATATCACTAATAATATGATTACTATATATTATATATAATCATTACTACATATTATATATAATCATTACTATATATCAAAGCAATTTTATTAATTACTGGGTTTATTGATATTATATTAATATCACTATACATAATTTTACATTAGATGTAAAGGGGCAGCTTAAGCATTTTTTTGATGTTTGAGCTAACTTTTGGACATGGAGCAAACTTTAAACATTTATATGTTTGTACTATGTCAAATAAGGGTACTTAAACAAAAAACTTCTATGATTGGAGCCTGGAAACAAAAGATTCGTAAAATTTTAACTAAACCTGCTAAGATTTAGCTAAAATCTTAGCAACAAGTTGATAAAATATTTTTTTCTATTTTAAACTAAATTTATATTCATCGATAAATTTTAA